CAAAGGGACCTTTACTTCCACTACCCTGCCTTCACCTCTGGCAAAACATGTGTTTACCAGCTCTCTTAATCTCTGTCCCTGGACTCAGAAGAGCAATTATTAAATCATGGATTTACTTTTCAGAAGGTTCTTGGAGATGCTCAAATGTACTCTGGGCTGTGAATAAACTTTTTTTAAATGACTTAAGAATATAGAATATAGAAAACTTCTGAGCAATTTAGATAACCTGAGTTCAAATCTACCTCTTGTGAAACCTAAAAACTTAGCACTGTGTCTAACACACAGTAGATGCTTGATAAGTGACATTTTGTACTGCTAGCTTGATTATCACAATTGTTGATTCTAGTATATATGTTACATTCCTACAATTACAGTTGTTGAGGAGGAAGCAAACAGGCTGATGTTTATCCAATGCTCACTGGCATGTATGCTTGTCAGGTGCAACATGATATCCATTGTCTTATTAAATCTCCCAGATAACTATGAAATCTGTAAAAATGAAAAATGAGATTCAAAAGCTTCAGGGACTTCTTCTTGCTCCTGGATCTAACGTGCAGAGGACTAACTCTGGATTGGCTGGATTCTCTACTATTTATTTAATCTCTCTAATTCAGATTTTTTTTAACTCCTGTAAAATGGGATGATAATGAGATCTCTGTAGGCTTTTTATAAGGATTCAAAGGGACTGTTCCAATAAAAAGCACTTACATATTGCTTGGAACTTACTGCACATTCAGTAAATGTAAGCTGTTATTAGAATTGGTATTCCGCAAAAATAGAATTTGAACCCCAAATTGTTCTACTCCAAAACCTAGATTCTTTCTAGTGACCTTCACTTGAACAGCAGATGAATATCACTGTCTGTCAGATGTCCACAGATGCTTCATCTAGGAAATTTGAGATGGAGAAAATGTGTTCAAATTAAGTATTTATTCGGAACCTAATATGCTTAAAACACCATGATTGGCACTGCATAAAGGTAAACAAGCTCTAGGTAGATATATAACTCACTGTGAGGATTTGCCTTGGGCATGTGCTGATACAAATTCAGAGGCAGTTCTATGAAAGTCCAGAGGAGGGAGCCCATCAGGCTGGTGGGGGACCGCGATGTTAGTGGAAGGTTCTCTAAGCAGGTGACTGAATTGGCCTTTGGAGCTTTCTAATCTTGGAAGAAAGACATAAACAGGACACCAAGAACAATGCAAGATCCTATCTCATTTAGTTCCAGATTCTGCCTAACAGACAATGCTTGCACTAGGAATTCTGAGATGAGAATAATTTATCTGGCCTGGAGTAAAGTAAATAGGGCTCTGGCTCTGGAAGAGAGCTGACAGAAAAAGTCCAGAGGGCCATAAAATGTAGTTATGTGGAGAGGAAGATGGGGGTGCTCATTTATTGAGCACCTACTTTGTCATGTAGCCTACTAATTTAATCTCAGTGACAACTCCATGGTAAGGTCACTGAGACTCAGAACAATTAAGCATTTTGCAGAAGGTCATAGGAACCCGGGTCATGGTGACTCTGAAATGTGTACTTTGAACCACCCTCACCCATTCCTATCCTTCGCAATCTTTAGGGATCTGCTTTTACGTTACTTTTCTAACTTCCAGTAGAATCTTATACCCTCCCTGGCCCCATCATTGCTTTCACTTATTACCAAACAAAATAAGTGTTGAAGGACTAAACCCTAAGAGTGAAGGAGCAGGGTAAAAAAGATAAAAATAAAGAACAAAAATAAATCCCCAGAAACTTAAGGAAGTCCCGGAGGAGTGGAAGTGGGTGGGTAGGTGGGTGGGTGGGACCCAAATCAGGACAACTAGGTGGGTACTGTTGCCATACTTCAAAAGGCTTCATTTTAGCTCAGATTTGGAAGTGATCTTAGGAATCTTCAATTCCTTCCCTTTCACTTTACATAAAAGCAAAGTGAGATCCAAAGATCTCACACAAATCAGAATTAAACGGGGAGTCACCTCTTTTTTTTTCTTTTTTTCCTTTCTCTCTTTCTTTCTTTCTTTTTCCCCAAATTGAACCCAGTAGCACTTAACCACTGAGCTACATTCCAAGCCCATTTTATTTTATTTCTTATTCTGAGACAGGGTCTCACTAAGTTGCTTAAGGTCTCCTTAAGTTGCTGAGGCGGGCTTGGAACTTGCAATCCTCCTGCCTCAGCCTCTGGAGCTGCTGGGATTACAGGTGTGTGCCACCTTGCCCAGCAATCACTGACTCTCAAATTGTTGTTCCTGTACTACAAATGATGAAAAGACAGGGAATAAATCCAAGAAAGATCAATTGATGCAATTTTTTTTAAAAAAGGATAGCAGCACATGGTACATTATATTATACATCAATACATAAAAAGGTTATGCATAAGTCATTGATTTTTAGAAAGAGTTATCAGCCAAAGGTTAGGATTCATCTAAGTCTTTGCACCTCAACCAAAAATAAATAAATACAAAAATACATACATAAAGAATAAAAGTGGCTTCCAAGAGAGGAGGGGCCAAACAGTATAATTGCAGGGTCAATGAATAAATGAGCAAAAGGCTTTGCCAAATGCTCCCTGTATATTTAGGGAATGAGGCCAAAGAGCTCAATGACTTTTAAGATATGGCTGTTTCGTCCCTTCCTTTTTCTGCCTCCATAAGTTGGCCTCCTCAATATTTGTTTGTCTATAAGAACCTAAAGGGAACTTTGTTCTTAACAGGACTGGAATAAATGATATTTAAATGCCAGTTCTATACTTCAGAGTATCATGTCCCAGAGCATATTCTGTCCTCAAAATAAATTTGGGAAGTAGATATTCCTATTTGAAAGGTGAGGAAATGGAAGGGTACAGAGGTGAAAGGACTCCTTCAAGGGCAGAATTCGGGTATGTGCTGGAGTTAGAGTGGAGTACAACTGAGAGTGCCTGTTTTCCCTCCTGGCTGGACAGTTGAAATCCCAAAAGTCTAGGAATATTCAAAACTATTGAACACAATGGCTTAAAAGCCCCCTTGAAGATACACAGTTTCCAAATGCTTAATTGCCACCACTGAAGTCCATCTGTACTCATGTTCCAACTTCTATTGGAGAGAAAGGGAAATTTTGAATGACATAATTTATGCAGTTCAACAGAGCTCTTGAACAACCTTGTAACTTCTATAGGTGACCTGGAGTAGCAGAAAGTCAAACATTTGCTAAGATGAATTCCTTATCCATAGCATTGTGCACCCAGGGTCCTTTATTCTTCTAGCCAGCCTCTGAAAACTCATTTAGAATATAGTGTGATTTTTCATTTTATAACCGGAGAACTAGAGTTCAAACTTCTTAGCTTAAGATTACATAGCAAGTTCTTCCCAAACCAGAAAGATCTGAATCTGGGATCTCCTGTTTTCAGAATGGTTCCATGATTCCCACAGAGCACATTCCAGCTTTTATAGAGGGGATGTCTGAGTCGTTTGCTCATCTTACAAATCTTTATACTTTTACCAGCACACATTCTCCACTGGTTTTCTCTCTCCCTGAAGCATGTAGCAATGATCCCAGACCTCAGGAAGGATCTGGAGCAGCCCTGAGGACAGGCGCACCATAGGGATGAAAGTCACAAATTAGTGGCATTAATTTCACATCAGGTCTCCAGTATGCTATCCACATGCAAACCTCACACAGCATATTTTTATCACTACATTATTTGGACAGACTGGTAACTAATAATTTGTAATCCACCACTGCTAACTCATTTTGACTTATTAAACACTTGGAGGGGGAAAAAAAAAGAAGGAAACTGTTTTGCCATAAGGGGGAGCTTTTGAGTTCCATAAAGAGGGGGGAAAAAGAAAAAAAAAATATTACATATATGTCCCAGTTCAAAAACAGATTTACAAAACAGCAAATGGCCAGATCCTTTTCTGTGACTTGGACAATAACAGAGAACCAGAATTGCTTAGGTTGAAATTAGGTAAACTAATATTTTGCTCTCGTTGTTTGTATAATATTAAAATAATTCTTAACCACCAACAGAATATTTTTAAGAGTATTCAGGGGAATTCAGAGACCCAGTTTCGCTGGGTCTACAGCTTCTGAAAGACAGATGTCCCTGAAAATGCCTTCCCCTGTGCTGTCTTCTGATGACTCCATGATGAATTTGGGAACAACTAGGGTTAGCTACAACTGGCCACTCTTTGGGGCTCCGGGAACAGGGGGGCCCTTCATCACTACACTGTGGAACTTCAAGAAAATTCTGAGAGGGAGAAGGAAAAAGGGAGGAAAGACTGGGAAGGTAAGAGAGAAGAGAAAGAGGAAGAGAGAGGAATGGAACAGGGGGTGAGGGAGGGAGAGAGAGAGAGAGAGAGAGAGAGAGGGAAGAGAGGGGGGAGAGAGGGGGGGGGGGAGGGAGGGAGAGAGAGAGGTGAGAGAAAGAAAAAGGGAGGAGAAGAGAAAAATGGAGAGAATATTTTTTAAATTTGAGAATCAAGTTTCAAGACTCTTTATGTACTATGGAAAAGGATGAGGTTTACCAGCAAAGTGCAAAGGGGATCCTGAGAGAAGAGAGAGGTTTTTCTCCCGCCAGGAGGGGAAAAAAAAAAAAAAATCAGGGGAG